CCTCCCTTGTTCGCTCCTAGATTGCCTAGTAGACTGGTTAGGTGCTCCATTGGATTACCTCCCTTCCCATCGCCTCCCTTGTTGCCACCGGCATTCAACATGTTTAGCAAATTTCCAACAGATTCCATAGGGTTAACTTTCTGTCCATCTGCACCGGTGCCTTTTCCACCCCCCTGCGCACCACTGTTGGCGGCTCCACCGAACTGCTTGAGCATGTCCATCATTTTTCCCATATCTAAATTATTTAAATTTGCATTTCCACCTCCCTTATTATTGACGGTATTAAAAAGGTTCATAAGATTCTCCAGACCTCCTCCTCCTCCAGACGATGAGCCTTTCTGGTTTAAAAGATTATTTAACATGTCCAGGTTGCCGTTATTATTATTATTTGCGTTTCCACCTTTACCTCCTTTCCCGTTCAGGGAATTCAGAATGTCCCCGAGTTGGCTAAAGTCGAAGCCACCCTTCCCTGGTTTGTCGTTCCCCCCCCCTTCATTGGTGTTATTGGATTGGTTATTATCATTTGTGCAAATTACAAATACTATGATGAATGAATACAAAAATACACATCTGGTAAATATATTCATTTCTACGAAAAAATAAAATAAATTAACATTAATGGAATGAAACTTAGGTCAGGGGAAAAGTTAAAAAAAAAAAAAAAAAACTCCGCTATATCATCTGGTTAAAGGAAGATATATCTGTGTACTCGTTAAATGGTACACACGCGGCGGGAAGGGGAAAAAAAAAAAGGGGGAAATCACACTATGCGCAATTAGTTGGTGAAAACCCAGTGGGGTTATAATCAGTGACACGAGACCAGGGACGAACTACTTAGGTGCCCGTAATCAACTGAACAATCAAATATGTACATGAAGGGGGGGTTTTCTTTTTTTTTTTTTTTTTTTCTTTAAGACAAAAAAACAGGTGATAAGGGATATGGAAAGGGCACATTATTTTTTTTTCATTTTTTCAACACATACAATGTACATAAAAAAAAAAAAAAAAAATTAATGGAAACGCATAATGCTAATGATATTAGCGCGGTAGGATATAATTTACAATTTAGGAGGCGAAAACCCGTTTTTTTTTTTTTTTTTTTTTTTGGCCTTGTGTTGCGTATACGCGTGTTGGCAAAATGGGTAGGGGATGGAAAAACGTGAATGTATACATATGAGAAGGTACACAACTGGTGGTACGTAATGCGATGGCACGTAAACTATGGTATGCAAGGGAACACGAACATGCAAAGCACATATGCAAATGTACACGGGAGTGCTCAAAGACTTAAATTTATCATCCAAGGACCGCGCATATGCCTACATGCTCCTCTTTTGCAATTTGGCTTAATGTGCGTCCGGTTGGGTGTAAAAAATAAACTTCAGCATATGCTACTTTAATTGCTAGTTTTTTTTTTTTTTTCTCATAAATGCCTGATGCGTTCAGGTGAAATTCAAAATGAAAACACACAACAGAATGGAACAAAATGGGCATACAAGGTAAAATGTGCTGAAAAGACGCACGGCGGGATGAAACAAAAATGGAACAAAGCGAACAAAAGGAACGAAATAAATTCAGAGAAATTCACACAACTGTGCGGGATTTACTCTGGTCATATATAAACACAAGCATGCCACTAACCACTTTTGCGGTTGGGCATGTAGCGCTGACGGGAGAGAAAACTCCTGCAGATGTCGTTCTCTCCATCTCTATGGGTATGGCAAATGCAACAGCGCGCATGTCTCGATGAGGCGGCGTACATGTCACGTGTATATGTATACATATAAAGGCATATATACGTAGCTATGCGGCGTGCCCGTTCTCTTACGTGTACCCCCAGTGGGGAAAAGTCACAGAATGGAAACGTGGCTAACCACGTAATGGATGCGAGCTTGCAATAAACGCATGAACGCCTAATCAGGTAGCTTTTTATTTAAACGCAAATCACACGAACAGCTATTTGCAAAAAAAAAAAAAAAAAAAAAAAATATGACCTGTTCAGATAAATTCGAACATATAATAAATTATTGTAATGCATTACAAAAGGGGGAAAACCAAGTTTGCATTGTTCGTTCACCAGATGATTATATGTAACCATTACGGTAACTTAATCTTACGGTGATTTTTTCTTCTACAATGCGTTCTTTTTTCTCCTTTTATATTGTCAAATGGTTGCTAAAAATGTTCTAAAAAAAAAGGAATGAAAAAAAAAAATTTCCTTAAAAGGTAAATCTACAAAAGAGAAAACTCATGCAGGTGTATTTGTCATGGAAACAAACAAAAAAATGCAGATTAAAAAATATATTGCATGTCATGTGAGCGAGGTATTGCAAAAGTAAGAATATTCTTTTTTTTTTTTTTTTTTTTTTTTTTTGAAGGGAATTGGAGCAAACAAATTAGAGTACAATTTTATATTGGGAAAATACACTATCTTCGCAATCAGGTGCTTTCCCGCAATTGAGTAAAAATGGAAATATAGAAACTCGAACGGCACCCAAACACGTATTTCCGCCGCAAAAAAAAAAAAAAAAGTACGTTAAACGTTGGGGACACCTAGCCCCTATAAGGATAAAGTAATATATGCAAGGAAGATACGTGGGGCGCGGCAAAAGGATGGATCGACAGCGCGTGGCCCATACATAGAATGGGAAAGCCACCAAAGGTTATATTATTGCATACACTCTACAGCAAAAGGTGCACGGGGCGTACTTTTGCCCTCTACGACGCGGGGGCTTCATACAAGCATGCAGATATATAAATGGGCCTCATTACCACCAGGTGAAAAAAGTATTCCCAGGGCAAAAAAAAAAAAATACGCCTTCCGTAGGCGGTAGAAGCCACATCACTCAAACGCGATGGGACATATGCGACACTAGGGAAAAAAAAAAAGAAAAGAAAAGAAAAAAACCTCACAAACGCGTGCTCCTCTTTTGTGGAGACCAAGCATTATCAAAAGGTGTCCATATAAAAATGCCCTTCTGACGCCGTCCCGTTTCGTTCTACACAAAGTAACGCAGCAGCAACAAAATCTCACAAAGTTTGCAGAAGGGGTATGGTACTATGTTTTTTACAGATGTAAGATTTATAAGCAAGCTAGCGAGAAACAAACTTAACAAGAGGAGAAGCTGGATAAAGCGGAATAAAAAATGGATGTTACCTAGGGTTGAGAAATCGTACCTGAAACAGGAGCAAGACTTCGTCGTGCAGCACAAAACCGTGCCACACGAAACCTTGCCGCGCAAAACTGTACCGCAGAGAGGGGAGTCTGCCCATGCAGGGGCTGAAGCGGGGCGAGGTGAGGTAAAACATGAAGAAGCCAAACCTGGGGATGCACACAGTGCATATAGACGCATCCTAGCGGAGACAACCCGAAAGGGAAAAAAGCATTTAAAACCCCATGAGTATAAGAAGTTGTTGAAAAACAGGGATAGCAGTGGACGCACCCCTAACGATGACAAGTTACAGCTAAAGCACCTGCTGCGTAGCGGCAAAGGTGGGGGAACGAACAAGGGGATACAAATAGATATAAAAGATTACAAAGACGATGAGAAGGAAAGGAAAAAAAACGAAATGAATACATTTTGGTACATGCCAAGTCCCTTTGAAAAAAAAGGTGTGTATGGAATGAAGGAACATTGTTTTTACAAATCTTTTATAAGAGACAGGGAAAGAGAACTGGACCAAATCGACAAGAAAAAGTTAAATGAAAGTGAACAAAAATTACTTAGTGAAATGCGAAAAAAGGGGAACAGTGTTAGTGGCAAACTGCTCGACGAGAGTATACCTGCCATGGATGGAGACCAAAAAAGAGAAAAAAAAATTCGCATTAGCCCAAAAAAATATTGGTTTCATGATACGTATCGTTCCCCTGATATCCCTACCTTGAGCACCGTGAAGGCAAGGGAACTTAGGTTTTTAATGATGAACGAAGCTAAGCTGGTTAGGAAGGGGAAAGTTGTGGATGTGGAATTATGGCTAGCTTTTATGAACCGAGTTTTGAACCTGTCCAGCAAGGTACATGTACGGAGTCTTCTCCGATACTTACAAACCATTGCATCTGTTAAGGTTAACAATAAAAAAATGATAAGCGAAATTTTGTGTGAAATTTTCAAACGAGAAAATCTTATGAAGCCAAAACATTATGTGTATCTTTTTCAAGGATGCTCTAGATTAAAATGGTCCGATTTCCAATTAATCTATGCGCTAAAAAATATGACCTTGTGCTGGCCCATCCTCCGAAATAACTTCCTGGTCAAATCGGCCAACTCGATTAGTAAGCTAGGGTTGGCAAACAGTGTGTATAGTAAGTCTTTGCAAATTACGCTTTGTGAACGGCTAGCTAATTTTTCAGGGAAAAATTTAAAGGCCATCAAGGCCATCACCTTTTTGGAATTCTTCACGGAGGAAATGATTTTGAAATTCATTTCTCTTGCCACCTTTTACAAAGAATATTTTAATTATTACACGCGGCACCTGCAGGTGTTGCATCTGTACGTTACTCTATTTTGCCCGTCCTTGTGCGATAGGTTGACGGCGGAGCAGAGGGCTTTTCTTTGGCGCTACTCGCGCGGTGCCAACTGGAAAGAGATCCGCGGTAAGGAGAGCCGCTCATGCAGCAGTGGTGAGGACAGTGACGGGAGCAGCAGTGGTGAGGACAGTGACGATTGCAGCAGTGATGAGGAGAGTGACGAATGTAGCAGTGATGAGGAGAGAGACGGAAACTCCCACGAAGGCCCCAAAATAGGAGACAAAATACGCGGAGGGTTCACAAGCATGTTACACAAAGAAATCAGTGACGTCCTCACGCTGATAAAAATCGAGCACTTGAATTCAGTTGCCTGTGGACCATTCATAGTAGACATATATCACCCCCGCTCAAATTATATTATTGAGGTTAATGCCCCCTTCCAATATTATCTCAACTATGAAAAACTAACAGCCTTGGCAGAATGGAGGCACAAGTTTTTGCAGCACATGGGGTTTAGGCTCATTCACATTTCGCACAAGGTGTGGAACAGCTTGCCCACTGAGAAGCAGAAAGTGGATTACCTCGCGCGCCTCTTGCCGGCGACGATGTTAGGCACGGGGTCACCAGGGGAGAAGCACCTCGGTGAACATAACCCCGGTGAGAATTACCCCGATGAAAAGTACCCCTGCGATGAATTCCCCTGTGAGGAGTTGCCCTGTGATGAATTCCCCACTGAGGAGCTTCCCTGTGAGGTCTCCCAGTAGCAAACATCTCCTCCTTGTCATCCTTTCCCGCCCGTGTGTCCTCCCCCCCGTTCCTTTGTGTGCAACTGCTTCCTAGCTAAGCCTGTGCCACGTCAGGGGGTCGACAGGCGATCACAGTGTGGCATGGGACAGAAGTGCGCACATTCAGGCAGTTCCATCACCAGCAGCGTACCACTGCGAATGGATGCTCTTGGAGGGACACACCCTCAAAAAAAGAAGATGAATCGAGTATTCCTAAATAGGGGGGGAAACCAACTGAAGGGGTCCAGATTACAACTCATGAGCAAACTTGGCAGTGTGTTCCCATGCATGTTTCTTTTTTTTCTTTTTTTTTTTTGCATGCTTATGTGATGGAAAATAAGGGAGGTCATTCCCTCTCGTCAACTGACACTGCAAAAAGGGGGAGTGAATAAAAAAAAAAAAAAAGCTCTTCTTTTTTGCCAAACGAATTATAGCCAATGGAAATAATTTTCTGAATGTGAATTCCCCTGTACGGAAGCTGTTCAATAGAGCATGTGCAGGTGTATTATGTAGCAATATTGCAAAAACAAAAAAAAAATATCGCCTCTCCATGTTATGACCAGTTTGCCTAAGCGCGACAGGTGTGGTGGGTATATATATTTGCACCATCTCAAAAAAAAAAAATTGTCAACTATTCAGGGAAAATTGAGCGAAACGATAAAAGCGACGAGAAATGGCAGAGCGACGACACGACGTTTAACTGACCCTCCGGTTGACATAACCATGACGCCGCATCTGCTAATAAACACCCCCGCTGCCACACCAACCACACAATGATGCACTGTTTGAAGAGGGCAGTTGTGGAGTGCCCCCGGAGACCCACCGCCTTTCCCATCCATTCGAGAAGCCTTTTCTTAAGTCAAGGCTTGCTCGCCCCAAAGGTCAAGCCAGGGAAAAAGGGACAAGATAAAAAAGATAGTCGGGCTGCAGAGACCACGGACAGTAAAGAGGAACAGAAGGCACACATCTTTAACATTTACAATACAGTCGAGAAGGACCATGAAATTTTGCCTGACCATGCATACCCGAAATGGTTGTGGGAGTTAGAAAAACCGATGAAGAGCTATGGCGAGTTGGCCCTTATGTTCCTCTACGGAAAGGTGAAACGAGAACAGAAGAGAGAGAAAAAAAAAAAAATGATCTCAATGTGAATGAGTATACCTATGCACACTAAAGAGAATACGCTGAGGCATATTTTCCCTTGTTTCAAAATAACTACTAAATGGTTGTTTCACTGATGAGGGAACATAAAAGAACACCCACGTTTATGCGTGTGTCCATTTCCGTGACACATGGAAACACCTCAATGTAACGTCTACCTCCCAGTATATTTGCTAATGTTGTGGAATTTTTTCCATTTCCCTTTTTTTTTTTTTTT